CCCTGAGGAACATGATGTAGTGGCTGATCTAGGGGGTGGCAGCCCATGGCAGGAGGACTGGAACTAGGAGATCTTTAACATCCTCTCTAACCCAAGCCATTCTATGATTCTGTGATTCTGTGATTCTGCGATTTCTGTTTACATATTTTTTTTAGAGTATTTTTTTCAGAGATTTTGCAATTTGATTTTTTTCTGCAACCGAAGTGCAGCATATTTACTTAATGTTTTTCTTGTCATAAAAAAAGGCCATGTAGATTATAATGTTCAGTAGTCTTTTTGCACTGTATTGTTACCTCACTGTGAGAAAACAAGATTAATGAGATGTACAATGAGATGTAGCTTTACAAAATTTTTTCTTGTGGGTTTCAAACAAATGGTTGTAAAGTGTCTGCTTTTAGTACTCCTCCAAATGCACTTTGTGTTCCACCTACTTTGTCAAAGCATGGTTTATGTCTACAATGAAGGAACAATGAGGAATGAATGGAAAGAGCAAACAAAAGTAGAGGAAAATAAATATTCAGAAAAAAAAAATAGAGAAAGGATTTAGTTTGGAGAGAATAATAGCATAATTGGACCTTAAAGGATTAATTAAGAAAGCCAGTGTGGACCTAAGATACATGTAAAGCAAAATGGAAACTTTACTTCAATAATGCTTTGAATTATGCTTAATTTTAGTTTGGAATGCAAAAACAATAAAAATATGTTTTATTTGATTTATATTACCTAATAAGTAAAATTCTTCTTCCATTCCAATAAGCTTATGAACGCCTTGCTCATTTTCTATCTGAAAAGTCAAGAGGCTTGTTCGCATGTTCCACTTATTTCTGTGGCTTACAGCCTTAAGATTCACTGCTATCTAAATTTTCATGATGATTCTCAAGCATGCATTTCAGAGACTGTCTAGTATCTTCTCTGAGCAGAACACCATTTTTAAAGTTATATTATTCAACTCTGTGGGTAGCTCAGTTATTTTATGCTGTAGCTTCTCAGAGGAATACATTCTCACTCTATTAATATACATTGCTATGGACAAATTGCAAATGGCAGTTTCGCCATGCTTCTCTCTGACAGTGCCATGCCTTCTCCAGCTGCAGGGAGTTACCTCTGGACACCCCTTTCCTCTTTGCTCATGCAGTAGCATCCAACATAAGAAAACATTTGGCTGATACACTTTAACTATTGTATTTATTCTTATGTGCTCTACAAAACAGTGCCTCTCCCTCCAGCCTCACAATTCAAAACACTGTACTTCCAGTAAATTCTTAGTTTTACAATAATATCTTCTTATATATTCACTTCTTGTGTAGGTAACTAGGCCATGCAGAACAGGATGTGCCTAATAAGAAATGGAAACTTTTTCTCCTAATTAGAGAGTCCTGTCAGCAATAGTGATTACTATTAACAATAGCATGGATGATAACAGTACTGAAGAGGATTAAACTCGATCCATGTTGAAAAAGATTTTTTCCTGAGCTGACTGCAAAGACAGTCTGTGTCTTTGTAGACTAATTATGGCTTGTTAAAAAATAATCAATGGTAAATTAATTTATTCTAGTTATGTTCTATTTTACAAAACTATGCAATGAGAGCCTGCATAACAGCAGAGCAAGACTGCAGCTGCAGAAGGTAGCACTTGTGTGCCTATCACTCCAGCTTTTCCAGACGTTAACGAAGGTATTCTGAAACAGTGGGAAAGAAGAGTCAGAAAAGAGCACTGTGACTGAAATCTAGTAAATTTATTTAAAAGTGAGTCATAGTGGTCGTATTCATCACATCTTCCCATATATTTGCAATTTTTTTTCCAGTCACTTGTATTTATTATGACCATTTTTTCCAAGAGAAGAAAACTCATTAAAACAAGTGTCAGGAACAGTGAAATCAGTTAGGCACAAAGTTCCCCTTAAGTCATTCCAAACACACTGTTTATTGTTACTACAAGTTAAGTAAAACAGTTTCAGATAGCAGTAGGATTTTAGGGTTGACTTCGACCTCTTTCAGTTACACAAGCAGATTATATATTGTTCATCCAGTTATTGACAAACAGGTTATTTGGTCAACACCAATGGAAGAGAAGAAATTTAACAGAAGGAACATAATAATAGAAAACTAGCTGAGCTCTGGGTGTGGCATGCAGGACTTAGCTTCCTCCTGACTCAATACTTGGAAAGACATTTTAACTAGGAACCATCCTTCCTTTTGATTTTACTTGTTTGGTATCATTCTAAGCAAGTTTGATCAAGTCTGTAGGTCATTTTCAAACAGTAGCTGTACAGAGACTGTCACGTGAAGGTTTGTGTGTTACTTGCTCTATGAAAAGGTTCTATTTTACCCTTAACACAGATACCTAAATATCAGAGGTCATGATCAAGTAGATGTTTTTTCCCCAGCTTTCATTGCTCCGAGTGAGGCAAGACAAAATATGTTTCCCTTGACTTAAGTGTTAGAAAGCAATGAAAGAAGTTATTTCTCAGTACCTAATCCTGTAGCAATGAAAAAGTACCAGGATACTTCTTTAGCTGATGAGTGGCTCTGGATGTTCTATCTGCTTTGGGATCCTATGAACTGTAAGCCACTAAATATCTACATTTCTAATTTCTCTACACTTTCTATGAATGTTTCTAGACTAAATTGAGAAAAATAGAGCTATAAAAAGAAAACCTTTCAATTAGCTTATGAAAAAGTTCTTGAGAGATACTTTTAACCTTTGCAATGACTCAAAACAGGCGTGAATTCCCTTTGTAAGTTCTTGTCATTGACTTCACACAAAAAAAAATGCATTATTTCTAGTCTCAACTATTGAAATTACAACGGAGATCGATGTGAAGAAAAATTGGACAAGAAAAATATTAATTATGTTTTATTTGATGAAGTCTTTGAATAAAAGTTCTTATGTCAACAAATGTGAACTATATTTACAGCCCTGTTGGAGATTTCACCAGTTCAACGGCCAAAGGTATCAATCTTAACCACAAGGAAGTTACTTATTAATCAAAATGCAAACCTGTACATGATAATACTTCATTACTTTCTCAATAACACATCTGCAGCCAGCAACCTAAAAACCTCTTTCTGGCACAGCAATGACTGACATCATTAACTAACCTCCAATTCCTTTATTTTCTCTTTAACTAATAAAGATAACCAGATTAACAAAAGTAGCTATGGTTACGATCACAAATACAGTCATATGAGGATATCTGTAATGAACCATGTCAGTCCTGAAGTCAACTCATTCGCATATTTTTAACTATTCTCTCAGTTCCAACACTGCACTTGCTAATACTTTACTGGTTGCTCTCATCAAAATGTCATCACATCACTCACATTAAAGACATTGGAAATATAAGAGTTATTCAGTGGAGGCAAATGCAATCAGTCAGGGGCAGTCCTTCCTCAGAGTGTTTTCAAGTAAGGTTCTTCTTATACAGGTACAAAAATGAAAGTACTCTGAAAGTTATACACAACAAACACTAAACTTTCTTTGTTGCCCTAATGAGTTTATGAAACAATGTGGCCAGGCAACACAACTGACTTACAAACAGGAGACTGATGTCTTCCTGAATAAAACTATAGGTAACTGTTATAACTGCCTCTTATCGATTTGAAACAAAACAAAACAAGAAAAATACTAATCCAATTCCGCCAGAAAGCCATGGTGACACACAAAAAAACTTGCATGCAAAGCTAGGAATGCAGAGGAGATATTATATGAGCTAACATTAACCATACTAGCAGGCTTTTGACTCGCTGCTATTATTTCCTTCAAATTTGTACTTCCTCTTTCATTTAAAGACAGAGCTGAAACTTCTGGTTGGTGACATACTCATATGTTCTATAATGAAGATGAGGAGTTTTGACTATTTGTGTTTATTAACAACAATTGGTTTTCAAATTACTTCAAGCTTACATTATATTCTTGTTTCTTTTTCAGTCCATGCAACAATAAAACTACAAGCCAGAACGAAATGAATGTTAAAAAGAAACATTTTTTAAAAATGTAATGCTTTCTTAGAACAATCTTGCTCGTTCACATGAAATAATACACTAGTGTTTTGAAATTAACAAAATACCTGAAAAGATATTGTCTATCTACAGCAAAATTGTTGCCAAAAAGGCATAATTTCCTCACTGTCTGAAGCAATTCCTTCTATCAAGCTAAACATTCTGAGTGTCTGAAGCAATTCCTTCTATCAAGCTAAACATTCTGAGTGTCCTGCTGCCAGTGACGAAGTTGATATAGTGAAAAAACAAGATGCAAATACTTAGAACTATGACAGCAGAATAGCAGGGAAAGTTTTCAAGTCTGTAGTATCCATCATGGGGACGTGGATTCCATTGCCTAACTTGTTACTTCTCAGTTTCTATAACCAAAGGTATGAATTTTTTATTTGTACCCTCATAGGTGCAACGAGGATAATATGGTCACTAAGGAGTTCCACTCCAGGCTTTAACTGTGAGTACCAAGCAAAGATGAAAAAATAAGTTTGCTCAGAAAACACAGAATTCTTGTCAGACGGGAAGCAGTATAAACAATCCATTTACTTTAACAATGGAATTGTTCATTACTAAAGAGAATGTAATTACAACATTGAGCAGATAGTGTTTGGGGCTCTTTTCTCCTCTTTCAGGACACATTTGTACCACATTAATGTCTGAGACAGTGAATTAGACACATTGAAAACAAGTGGTTTCACTGCTCCCACAGATTGCAGCCAAGTTCCTTCCTTCTCACTGCTGAAAGTTTATCCTCTAATAAATAATTCCCAAGACATCTTGCAATAGGAAGCATTCATGAATGAATGCATTAATAAATGTTTCCTATTGCAGAGCTCCCTGGGATTTCTTGTAATACCTGCAAGGAGTTTACAGACCCTCATTAGTTACATTAAAAAAAGGAAATTTGCTACTTCTGAACACACTATTTTGCCCTGTTTCAAAACATCATAGCAGATAACTAAATGCTGGCATGAAACAAAGCCAATGACCCGTTATGCACTTACCATGTACCACATGCTTGGCCACTTGGGATCATTGAAATAAGTGGATTGGGTACCTCCAGGTTTATAATCCCTCTTTATCCTTCTTTTAACCACCTGCTGTTGTATCCACTCCACCTGCCAACCAGGAAAACATTTGGTAAGTGTTAGGGTTTCATAGAGATTATCAAGAAATGTGTGAAATCTTGGGAAGTTTCCCATTACCATACTCAAAGACATATTTCATGTTAAGGAGTTCATTTTGGCAGTCGAAATGCACAGCTCACCTTGGCATATGGTTCACTAGGGAATAAGCCCAATTCTGCTAGTGCTACAAATCTCCCTGAACAACTACTTATATCTCCTGCTAGAAGAATTTCATTTGCGATCATCTTTTGAATGCTGTGATTTTTTTTTCATTATTAGAATTGAACTTTTTTTCAAATTTGTAAAACTAGTTTTATAAAGTGTAACAGTAGATCACAAGCAGAAATAAATTATACTTCTGACTGTTCTTTGTTTTAAGTCTGTTTCTGAGAACAAAAGCTTTCAGTAAAATATTAAAATATTCTGCTTAACCAATATCTAAATCATCTTCACTGCTTGGAGTGAATACAACAGAATTAAAATATATATTTTAGTAGAGTAACTCTGCATCAAGATTCTCTCTGCCAGGTGCTCCAGAACATAATTCAGTGCAAAGTACTAGTACAGGGAGAAAAAGACCGACATTGAGCAAAAGGTCAAATTATAACAACATCAAAAAGAACTTGAAACATCAAAGTTAAGGGTTAAAAGCAGAGTTCTTAAAATCAGATTATTTTCCGTCAGATACCTCTTCGTAGATTCACAACACACTCAGAAAGAGCAAGACTGAAAGTGACATCAGCCTTAGAGCAGACAGGACTGCAGGCATTTTGGCATTGCCTAGTCTAAGTGTGCGCTAGTTTCTATGAATGTGAACAGCATAACTATCCACATAGAAAGAAAGAGATTATATTTACACATCTATCTCACTTAAACTTCATATTTTTCCTGAATTGTTTCATGGGATATAACTACAAAAATTGAATTCACCTCTTCCCAAGCAAGACAGCTATTTCCTCTTAGCAGCCAATTCTTCACCTTTTATTTCTGCTGTTCATGAATATCTGTGTATGCACACACACACATATATATATAGAATAAGTTTACTTTCAGGTCACATGTTTCTCTTTGTCACTTGTCAGAGACAGTATTAACATTTTTCCATGGCAGGATAATTTTTACTGTATCTGCAATTCAGCTTCAAATCATGAGGTCCTTAGAGAGACTTGTCCACTGACATCAGTGGAAGTTCTGCTTGAGATCTATACTACCTCTACCTTTACCATTGCTACTACGTGGTTTCCATGGTTTCTTTTAGAAAATGGAATTGTGTTTTTCCCTTTCTTAAGAATCAACTCCAGGGTTAAGAGTATTCTACTAGTGAAGAAATTGTCTGGTTTAAGAAGACAAGACTATGAGGTAATGTTCATGCAGAAATCCATTTCTCTGTTCTTCTGTTAACCACTGTAAATCCTTTTCAGTTTCAGAGAAAATTGAGGTATTTGATAGAGTGCCTTTTCCTCATGATTACTCTGCTCCTCTTCCGGACCAAGCTGCAATCCATCTTGGTAGACACTCTCTTGATGATCTGACAGCTGGCTGCCCTTCATATCTTATGAGATCTAGAGATCCCATCAAGTGGACACCCACTCAGCCTTCTGTAGGTCATGCAGTGGACTCTGGAGGGAATGTGAGATGTAGAGTGTATCTGGCCAGAGGCAACAAGAGAGAGAGCCAAAAGACTGAAGAGGCTGCTCTAAAGTGTGATCAACATCCCTCTTAAATGGATCTCTCCTCCATGACAAAGACTGATTTATAATTAACATTTAATTAACCCTATCTCCTTGTCACCTCCTGCCAATATATGGTCTCTTTTTCAGATCCTCAGAACAGCTTTTTTTTTCACCCATCACCCTTTTAATCCCTAGCCGGTGGCCCAGCCCTCCCATCACATCTGAAGCCGGATGAAAGGCTGGATACCACTTGATTCCTGACTCAGTAGCTGCTTGGATTGCCTCAAACCATGGACCACAATTCCACCAATTTATGCTAGTATTTAGCAACCAATAACAAAAAAGATTCAATGTGTCTGAACAATCAAATATGATTTTCAAGGCTTATACAGTTCCACCTTCTAAATCTTATCATGAGATATATGCAAGAAGGAGAGGGGTTTTCCTCACAAGACAAACTGCAAAACTTTTTAGCAGTAACTGTGAAAATATGTTCTCTCCATTTATTTACTCCCTATTCAGCTGCAAATATCTACTGATTGTTAAAAAGATAAACAGTAGAGGCATCATAGTACTTGCTGAGAGTGAACATCCATACACTTATGCCTCAAAAAACCCCCAACAATTAATTCATTCTCTCTTTTCCTGTTATGCCAGATGACATTACTGAGAACATTTATCAGACAGTCCTTTAGTTCAAACAATCACAAATATTGTCTCAGTGTGCCATTCCAGTTAATATGAACAATAATAAGACAAATAAACAATTCTGTATATGCATATACATAAATATTTTTGTACAAGCATGTGTTTGTACAGGAGCTTGGATCATCTGATTTAATATTCAATAATATGCAATCCAGCACAGCTGATGGTTAAGATTTTAGTGACGTACAGATAGATATATACCACCTTTTAACAAAAAAAATGAAGTGACTGTTCTACAGATTGTGTATTTGTCAGAGCCTGCCCCTAAAACATGCTAGATGTTGCCTATAATTTCTGTTTCCTCAGCTCCCAGAAAATTTAGGGGAAACATATGAAAGAGTAATTCTGCAGAAGGACTGTACAGCATGCACAATCAGACCCAATGCCAGAAAAAGAAATGTAACTCTTCCCATAAAGCCTAACGACAATTTCATGTACACGTAAAATTACTATAAATAAAACAGCTGTTTGGTCTCATTCAAATACAGATTTATGCAAATAAAATGTTTCATAAGAACACATATGGGAAGATAGCACAGGCAGCGCCATAATCATAGATACGATGTACACTAGGAGGACTCACCTTAGGCACCTGCAGATATCCAATTAAATAGAAGGGGAAGAGGGAGTCAAAATGATCTTTAAGATACAGTGACTGTGTACTGTGTTGAGAGAGACAGTGCAGGATGCTAGCCAGAGTAAATACAGCAGGCAAAAATAAAGCAATACAGCCGGCTTGATCACAATCCTGGGTATAGCCTTCTCTGCAAGATTTTTATCAAACAGCTTCAGTCAGGATCTGCTTAGTAACTATTTTTATACTGAGGATGCGCTGATACACCCATCTAGGATGTAATTTAAAACATTCCAGGAAACTCATTTTCTCATTTGAGAAGTCAGTGCATAAAGCTTAGTTTATAGAAAATATCACTGCTACAGAAATAGAACACTCTACTGAATACTAAGGCTAGTTTATTTTCTTTTAAAACTGAAGAGAAAAACTTGCCAGTAGTCTTTAGTGTAAGTTACACTATACAATTACTGGGATATATCAATGAAGACTAGGTCAAGACTCAGCAGTTATTTTAGTATTTCCTTTGAGTATTTTATGGGTATTCATGCACGTGTCACTGTCAAATGCCTGGTACGTCTTGGATTTGTTTGATTCAGTATGAAAAGAACTCATTTGTATAAAAATATTTTCTTTAAAGAAGTTTCTACACTTCCTAAACTATAGTCCTTGAAGGAAAATCTCTGAAGTAATTGATTATACAGATTCCCATCTCTTGCCAAAAGGAGACTCTATGCGAACAATGAGGTGCATTTTAACATTTCCATAAAGTCACACTTGCTGAGGGGGAACAGTGCACATTTTCCCATTGACTTCAGCTTTGAAAGTTCCATTTCCTGAATGTCTAGAAATCAAAGCCAAGCCAGATTGGAGACCAAACCATTAAAAAAAAAAAAAAAATCATTTCCAGTCTCCTCACTCCTAGGCTTGTTCTATACACAGCACAGCTCTTCTTCACAAACCTGCATGAAACAACGCTATGGAATAAAAGTTGCTCCGAGCTTATTCTAGTACATCATGCTTTCATTCTCTGTAGGCATAAAGAATATAATGAAATGTTATCTCTACGTGAAACAGAACTGCTTTCTACAACCTTCATTCTCATTTATTTAAGAGAACTCATGAGAAAGCAGCCCCGTGTATGTATGCAACAGTAAGAACTCTACTGCAATAAATTGTGAAAAAAAACTTTGAAAAACAAATGGGAAAACTTAAAAAGCTGAAAAAAAGAAAAATCCATCTATTATCAAATCAGGGTGTTTTTTAAAATACAAACACGAGATAACCTTGTGAAACAGCACTTACTTTGTTTTTCAAATATGTCATGAGGAGGTCTGCTTGAATAAATATTTTCAAATTGATTAAAAATGTGTCAAGTTAAGCATGTGAAAATGTTACCATTAAAAAGAAGGTATAAAAGCAAGTTGGAGGCATATACCTTTCCAGTTTGAGGAAAGAATGCACAGGGAAGGAACACCCTAACTCTGAGTAATGTATGCATTTCACATCAAAATCTATTATTTTTATGTTGCAGAACAAAAAAAAAAAAAAAGATGTGAGTATTCAGTTTATGAAAAGGAATTGCTTAAGGTGCCACTCTCATCATAATCACAGCATCATTCACTTCAGTCTGTCCTGCACCTCTAAGAAATTACAAATTCCTGCTCAGCTAAAATGAAAGCAAGTGTCAGATGAACATTATAAAGAGAAAGAAAGGACAGAAAACTCAGAGCACATGGAAAGTATCACCAAGCTAGCAGTGAATCTGCATGGAGTCAGGCTGAATGAGCAAAAGGGGCAACATTAAACCATGCGACAACCTGCTCTCTGTTGGGATGGCTTCACACTGCACCTGCTGCACCTCAGCCTTCACTCCTAAACACTGAGTGCTGATGTTTATGTGAGACCCAGGCTGAAGGAAAGGACAGGAGAGAGGGTGGTACTTCCAGAGAAAGAAACCAAGACAGTGCCTGGCCCATTGTGGGATATAAAAGAAAAATGGTTCTGACTGCTTATGGTAGCAGAAACAGTCAGTTATG